TGGTCACTCTCTTTTGTGTCTCTTTCGTAGCTTTCGATAATCGATTATCAGCTTAATGAGCATAGCTCTATGCATAATTATTTATTCAACATTTTTCTCTGTCATTTCCCAGGCAAGTTGAGGAATGCATTTGAATAAACACGCATACACTGTTAGTTGGGCAAATAGATATAAAAAATTTTTGGATTTTTAAAAATTATGAAAATAAAATAAAAAACTTAAATGATTATATAAATTTGTAAATTAATTTTTTAAATATGAGAATGTGGTCACATATAAAAGTCTACCCTTTAGAGAGTGTCCAGAAACCGTTCTTTACATATTGCTTATGTGAGTTCCTGTCTAAGGCCAAATATATTTGCAGTTAAAACGAGGAGGCGAACTGTATTAAATGCAGGGTTGGATACCCGCCACAAAAAAATCTGTTATAATAAAATATTCAACAAGATTCGAATAAAATTTTCAGAATCACCATTTGAGGAATGCATTTGGAATGTCCGCTTCCTTGCCTGGGAAGAAACCATTTTGATGCTCTAGTAGAAATTAAGGCTGACATCAAAGCCATACAAGAAGTGTGATGTATCCATTTGACATCTACTACAGCAGTCCTTTAGAAGAGCGGAAGTCTTGCTTCGACTTTCACTGCGCTGAGTGTCAGAACGCATTTATGAGCGCTGTCACCATCAGGATATCAAAATCGTATTTGTCATCATTCTTAATTAGGAAATCTAAAGCGTAACATTCGAAAAACTCAGCCTCACATCGCCAAACGCGCTGAGTTAGATCGACTTGCCACGTTCCAAAATATGGTTCAGATCCTGGCTTAAGAGCAGTCATCAAGCTACTAATCTTCACCGGATCGAAAATTTCGCAACCAAATCGATCATATCAGAGGACTCACTGGGCTTATAAAGGGAACAGCCTGCTAAATGGCAGTGAGAGAGTAACACTCGGCGATGATGAACCCGAAGTATCATTCGATGATAATGGAAATACGTTCCAATAACGAAGTTCGAATAGCGATTACCGACATTTTGATAAGCTACATCCATCAGCTTCTTTGCGGAATATGATCAACCGAAAGCATGTCCTACAATTGGTATCTAAGGTATTCAACAGTGCGGGGTGTGAAAAAATTTAAACTCTCAATGAAAGAGCCTTATCTGTGCAGCTTTAGACCTGGTATATCGATCTGGACCTACTAAGAACAATTTGATACACAAATTTAACTCGAATGGCGTAGTCAGCTGATGGACTTCTATCAAGGCAGTAGAGATGGGAATCAGTACCAAGTAAAACACTTCCAGAGATCCTTCAAAGGTACAGGGATTAAATATTTAATTTGGCGAACCGTTAAGCTTTCGTAGGTAATATGCATATGTTTATCCAATGTTATATACATATCAAGTGGGGTTTTCGGCTAACTTGGAGGCTAAACGTAGGTTCGAAAGAGTCCTATGGTTTTCATATTATTTGTATACAGATGAAATTGGTAGGTGTTGCGGCTTCCCTCCTTAAGCCGTTTAGCTATGTTATTAAAAAGGGTATATTATTTCGGCTTTGAGCGCACAGGGTCACTTTCCGTGCTCATAACTGCCATCATGCTTTGAACAGACCAAGTAGGAAGAGAGCTTTGTAGTACGAAGCTCGATGCGAGATGTTCTCAATCCCATGTGAAGTTTGACTCAGCGGTAAAGCGCTTTTTAAGTCAATAGATCTGTGATCAAGAAATCAGTCGCCCTAACTTCTGAACAGATCTCTGGTCAGCTGACTGAATACTGACTTTCAAAATAGTGATATCCGAGATTCTCTTGAGCTGAGATAGCCTGTTTCAGCAGCCAATAATGTTTACAAATCATCGCCTAGCGAGGACATTCCTCGATGTAGAAGACAGAAAGCTTGATTTCTACCTTACTTTTAAAGTAATTCAATTTTCTCTATACTGGTAATCACAATTTTTTGTAGGGACTACACTCTCTAACAAGTCCAAGAATCCACTTCTGTCTTTAAAATAAACAGAAACTAAGGAGCTCCTACAGGATATTTTAAGTAGTGATGATTGGAAACCAACGATACCAGCACCATCTGTAGTAAACTCAGAAGAAAATTTGAATCAACAACCAACAAACATTAGATGTTCCATTCGAGTATAAAAAAGTATGTCATTTTGCAGGACAATTTGATGCGCAGTCAACTCAGCACCACATCTTGAGCTGCAGGTTTCGAATTTCACAAGAAAACAGGTACCTGAAATCAAACAGAGCATAATAGTACATACCTACACATCGTGCAAAGAATCAAACAAAAGCAAGACACACAATAATCATCTACATGACTACACATTTCTTCGGATCATTTCGTTGTGTGTTGCAACACCAAGCAGTAAAACGGCTCCTGCTGTGCAACGAATTGTGTGAAATTATTTGAAATTGTTGAGAATTATTTTTGGAAATTGCAAAGAAATTAATAGCTCATCATTGCGAGTGGAAGGCAGAGGCAAAAAATGATTGTTTATATGTTTGTTTGTAAGAATAGGCGAGTAGGCTCTTGATGGGAAAAGTGCTAGCGAGCGGCGTTGCTTGGGTTTCTTGTTGTGCGCAACTGAACATGATAAAGGACGAAGGATCATCATAAATACATGCTTAGTTGCTTTTGTTTTCATTTGAGGTGTATATGAAAGTTGCTGGTTTTTGGATGTGTTTATATGCTTTTGTAGGCCTTAAAGAGAGGATGAGATCTCATGCAAACACTGGAACGATTATGGCTTTGCGGGTATGACATTGAACACCTAGAGATTAGCGAGAAGATGGTTGGACTATTTTACAACTAGAGGTGTTGGCCTTGAAGGCATATCAGTTGACCTTGCCATAGCATTGAAAAAGACCCTTAAAAAGACTCAAAAATTATAAAAACAAAATTGGGAACAACAAACTAAAAATTTTTAAATAAAATTAAACTAAACTCATAAAAAATATAGAAAACACAACGAAAATAAATTATGTTAAAAACAACAAGCGCAGAACAATATTAAGAAATTAATTAATTAGAATATTTTATATTTAAATATAAAAATATGATAAAAATTAAATAAAATAAAAAAGAAATTGAAGTAATTTAAAATAAAATTTAAAACAAATAAAATAAATTATTGTAAATAAAATAAAAATTAAATCAATTATTTTAAAATAAAATAAAAATTGAATAAAATATATAATATTGAAAATCAAGCTAAGAAAATAAAATGAAAGATAAAGTAAAAAAATTAATTAAAATAAAATAAAAGATATATATTAAAATACAAATTAAAGAAAATTAAATTAAACTAAATTGAAATGAGGCAAAATGAAATTAATTAAAATAAAACAAAATAGAATAGAATAAAATAAAATAAAATGAAGAGAAAATGAAAAATAAAATAAAATCTACTAAATAAAATAAAATAAAAAACAAGTTAATCAATATAAAATAAAAAAATTTAATTTACTTAGCCACCAATAAAAAAAATAAAACAAAATGATATAAAGAATATAATAAAATAAAGCAAAATGATATAAAGTAAAATAAATTAAAATAAAATTGAATAAAACAAAAATTTTTTAAACAAAATGAAATTAAATTAAATAAAATCAACTAAATTAAATGAAAAGAATAATTAATTAAAATAAATTAATAAAGATAAAATAAATAATTATATAAATTAAACCAATTAAAATAAAAAAAAACCAAAAAAAAATAATTTAAGCAATTAAAAATAAAATTGGACGGAAAATAAATAAAGTTACATGAAAAATAAATTTAAATTAATTAAAATAAAAAAAAGTAAAACAAACTAAAATAAAATAAAATAACATAAATTAAAATAAAATAAAATAAAATAAAATAAAATAAAATAAAATAAAATAAAATAAAATAAAATAAAATAAAATAAAATAAAATAAAATAAAAGAAAAACAGAACAAACTGAAATAAATTAAAATATAATAAAATCAAATAAAATGAATTAAAATAAATTAAAAACAATAAAATATAACAAAATAAAATGATGTAAAACGCAATAAAGTTATAACTTAACTTAAAATAAATTAAAACAAATTAGTATAAAATACAGTAGTAAAAATAAAGCCAAATAAGGTCAAGCAAAAAAAACTAAAATAGTATATTAAATTAAATTAAATGAAAAATAGCATACAAAAAAATAAAATGAAAACAGATATAATAAAATAAGATAAAGTAAAATATATTATAATACAGAAAATAATCAAATAAAATAAAAATAAAGCAAGATAAATTAATCAAAAATAACTGGAAACAAAAAAAGATAAATGAAGGTAGTTTTAATGAAAAAAACAAGTAAAAATAAATGAAATTAATTATAACAAACAAACAAATGAAATGAAGTTTACAAATAAAATAAAATATATTTAAATAAAAATATATTTTAAAATAAAATGATAATAATTACCATATAACAGAAAGAAAAATATACATTTTTGGAAGGAGTTCTTCATTCAGAAGCAATTTTTGTATATAATTATATAATTTTAATTATTTTGGTGCTTTGCTAAAAATAATTGGAGCGGACTATTTGGGAATAAAACAACAGCAAGTTAATAAAACTTGTTCTATTTTCTATTTAGTATATTTTTTTCACCCTCTAATTATTGATAAATTTTTTCCTGCATTGTTGACCTACGAAAAGGTCTTTTATACTCACCACAAATTTTCTGTTTTATCTTCAACACTGAATTTTTTTGTATAAAGTTTTAAAGTCTTGCCCGTAATGCTGTAATTTAGTTTAATTAGGATAAATTGTTTTCCATCTATCCACCCAGGGTACCCATCTGATAATAAAAAATCCATTTATTTATTTTTTAATTCAAAAAAAGTTTATACTTTATTTATTTTATTATTTTTTTGCGATTTTTCTCATTTTTTTATAATTTAAATATTCTTCTAACTATTACAAATTACTAAAATATAATATTTTTAGAACTAAATATACCAACTAAACAAGTTTTTTAATTTTAAATATAAAATAATTTACATTGCTGCTTTAGCTGTTTTAAATAAGTACAATTTTCTCTTAAATATACATTTACCATTATTTTAATTCAGTGCTGTTTACAAAATAATAATAAAATAAAAAAATATAATAACAGTAAATGCTTATGTACTATGCAAGTAAGTGTTAGACTATTCTTTGTGCTATTTACAAATTTAAATAAATGTTTGTCCTCCGTTTTGTTGCGCTTTTCGTTAATAGAAAGTTAAAACCGTTAGTTTGGGCTTTAATAAATATTTTAAATTGTATCTGTGACGCTTTTATAAATTTCATTTTGATTTTAAAATTGAATTTCAAAAACAATAAGCGCATTTTTGCCTGCCACTTCAAAGCATACTTTTAGGTGCATGAACTTAACCTATGCATATGTATATGTATAAGTAAGTAAGTATACTGTCTTTTACCGCATAATTAATAATTTCATAGTTACTTATGTTACTATATATAATTCGTTGGTTTTCTATTTATGTACTTAGGGTCCTCGTTAGTTGTAGTAATACTTGAAATTCTATCTCTTTATCTCTCCTACACACCGTCACGCTCACACACACGCACACACACATACACTTTCGCACGCCTATACAAATCGCTTACACACAACGACGACACTCGGTCACATCACAGTTGGCGCCCACTAAGCGTATAAGCTCAGCTTCGGATGATGATAGGTGGGATAGCGGACCGCCAGCGGCAGCTCATTACCCACACTAAACACCTGCGATCAGTGTGGATTACGCATGGTATTGTTGCCCTGCTGATGCTGTTGTTGCTGTTGCTGCTTCTGTGCATTAGCAGCACCCATAAAGGAGCGACGACCTGTGGTCGCAACACCATTACGTAACGGCAGTGCTGGCGGCAGTGGTGGTGGAGTAGGCGTTTTGGCGCAACGTCCCTGCTCCAAAGGCAGTGAGTAGTGTGTGTTGCTGTAAATGTAATTGGCATCCATTACCTCGCTAGACGCATCACAATCGCTACGTGACGAAGTGCCATAATGTAACGGCAGCTGTTGTTGTTGTTGTTGCTGCTGCTGCTGTAGCTGTTGTTGTAGCTGCTTTTGTTGTTGTTGACTGAAGTGCTCTTGCGTGAGACGCAGCTGGTGTTGGCGTGCTTCACATGTATTTACCCCAGGCGAATGCATCATTGGTACATCGGCGTACGAGTAGCACGACTCACCCACATCCAATGTAACGGCGGCGTGTGCGAATTGCGGTTTCGTGTAATGGTTCACGCTCTGCTGCGCTTCCATCATAGCGCTGCCGTTGCAGGGCTTAATACGTAGCGAGTAGGGCGTGCAGTCGTCGATGTTCATGCCCGACTGTAAGGCTTTTTTCTCGTTCAACACCGTGGCGGTGGGCACTTGCAGCTGTTGTAGATTTTTCTGTGCGTCCGGTGCGTTCAGATCGTTGGTGGTGGGCATGGTGCAGAAACCGTAGTGGCGTGCAGCGGGATGATGTGGTGTGTAGGTGTTGGAGAAGGTCGAATGTATGCCCAGACTGCAGGGATGATGCTGATGGCGCGTAATATAATCCTCATCGCAAAAAGTCTTTTGATACTCACGTTCCTTGCGACCCAAAGCCGAGTTACCCCAAACGCCGCTGCTAATGTACTCGCGTATCTTGCGGCGACAGCGGTAGAGTATGAGCGCCAAAGCAGTAAGTGTGGCCGCGGAGCCGACTAGTAGTGCGCCAATCAAAGCCTGTTTGCGTGGATCGGTGTGTGTGCAGCCCATGAGCGCAGGATTGAGATTACGTAGCGCCTCGCCATGCAGACGATCGGGGAAAGCGCAGTAAACTTCAGAGATTGCATCATTCGTGCCATTCTTCTCCACCAACAAATTACGCAACCACATAACGCGACAGTCGCAAGAGATGGGATTCTCGGACAAATCGAGTGTGGTCAAATCACGCCATGGAAACAGACCCTCGGCCAGTGAAGTGAGCGCGTTTGCCTTCAAGATGACGTGACGCATGTTGGGCAAGCCGCTAAGTGCGCCTTCCTGCACCTCGTGCAACATTTTGTTCGAGGAAAGATTCAAATACTCCAAATTACCGTTGGTCGAAAAAGCGCCATTCATTATGCGTTTCAAACGCAAAGCACCATTAATTTCCAAACGTTTCAGCTGCTTGAGACCCACAAAAGCGCCCTCCACAATCACCTCAAAATCGTTTTGACCCAACGACAACTCCTCCAAGCGCGCCAACTGACTAAGACTGAAGGTCGGCACACGCGTCAAACGATTATCGGACAAATCCAACTGACGCAACGCCTCCAAACCCCTAAACGAATCATGCGAGATATTACGCAAACCAGCGCCACGCAAATCGAGTCGCGTCAAAGCCGGCACATCCTGGAATGCCGCAGCAGGCAAAGTCGTCAAAGTGTTCATGCCCAGAAAGAGTTCCGCCAAGTTCGGCATTGCTTGAAAGATAACCGGATCGGGCACCGAGGTCAATGCATTATCGTCCATATACAAAATACGCAATTGCGTCAGACCATCAAATGCTTTGGGATCCACAAAGCCAATGCGGTTCTTACCCAAATTCAACTCTTCCAACTTAACCAACGGCGTAAAGGTGCCCAAATGCAATTCCGATATTAAGTTTTCACGTAAATTCAACACCGTCACCGCAGAGAGACCAATAAAAGTCTTATTGCTGATTGCGCCAATCTTATTATCATTCAAATGCACCTCCTGCAGTTTCTTCTGATAGGCAAACGTACGCTGCGGTATGGTCATCAGGTGATTCGAAGACAAATCGAGGAATGTCAATTCAGCGTAGAATTGTATTGAGGAGTCGATTGTCTTGATTTTGTTGTTGCGTATGACCAAACGTTGTATGGACGGATTGAGCGCAATGGGCAGCACATCCAACTGGCCCGCACCACACTGTACGACCAATGTATTGTCATCACACTGACAGCCGGGTGGACAGTTGGCTAAACCGCTTGCGGTGGCGATGAATAGCAACGCGAGGCAGAGGGAGAGTATAAGTGTGTGGGAAATGCTTTTTAGTTGCAACATTTTGTATTCCCGGTGTTCTGTTGTTTTGACTCTTTCGTTTTTTTTTTGTTGTTGTTGTTGTTGTTGTTGTTGTTGTGACACAGTCGTCAATCGACTGCTTTTGGTTATTCTTCTACAGCTTATTGGTGTTGTTGCACGACACGCGTAGTACTACTATGCACGAGTACAATGTATGAATGTATGTAAGTTGAGTTGAGTTTTATAAGCGGCGTTCCATTGCTGTGTAGATGAGAGTAGAACAAAAGAGAAGAAGAAGAAGCATTAGTTAAGTAATTTCTTGAACTGGCATAAATTAATTCAATGTGAAATCTATGGTAATGCCGGCGATAAGTAATGAATAAATGTAATAAAAATGGAGAAAATTTTTCGAAAAAGACAAAGTGAAGAGAGAAAAAGCAGAAAATTGTGCGTGTTTGTGTGTATGGTTGTTGGTTGGTCAGTCGTTGACAAATTTATTTCTACGCTTTGTTGTGGCAATTAGTTATTTAATTTATGTTTTCATATAAATGCGAGTATTTTTTTTTTTACTTTTTTATCAATCTAAAAATTCTTTCTTTTTTAGTTTTGAATTAAATTTTTTTTTTTTAGGTTTTTTAATGTTTTAATATTTTTTTGTACTTTTTTATTTTTAATATTTTTTTTGTATTTGTATATTTTTAATTTTTTTATACCAACAACTTTGAAAGTAACTCAAATATTTCAAAACATAAACATATAAATATTTCGACGAAATAATAATTAATTATACTCTGTTTATCAATGAAATGTAAAAATTTGTTTGAAAACATTTTCGAACGGTTTTTTTTTTTTTTAATTTTAAACTAAGGTAAGGTTTGTAATTAATTGCTTTAAATATAAGTGCGCTCAAAAATAAATGTGTAAAATAAATATTTATGTAATTTAAGTATAAACTTGTGCTGGATTTCTGTTTTAATAAATATAAATAACAATTTTTTTAAATTATAGCTTAAAATATGTATAACAGCTTTTTTGTTAATTTTTATTATATTTACCAATTTTAGAAATTTATTATATCTTTTCATTTATGAATTATTATTTAATATTATTTTTTTTATAAAAAATATATGAAAATTCTCTTAAAAATTTCTTAATGATTCAAATTTTCTTAATTAATGTTACATTAATGTCATTCTTTATATTTTTTTAATATTATTAATTATTGAGTATTTAAAAAAAACTTAAAATATCATATATACAAGCTTTTGTGCAAAAAAAAATTTTATTATTTAAAATAAATTTTTTTTATTTATTTTTTTTATGATTTATGGTTATTTTTTTATTTATTTTATTTTATTTTTATTAATAATTTTTTATTTATTTTTAGCTTTTATTTAATATTTAAGATTTTTTTTTATTATTTGTTTAAATTTTTTATTTTTAATTCAATTAATCTTTTTAAATATAAACTTGATATTAAATATGTTTTTTTATTTATTTTATTTTATTTTTATTAATAATTTTTTTATTATTTCTAGTTTTTATTTAATATCTACGATTTTTTATTATTCGCTTTTAATTTGTTATTTTCAATTCAAATCAATTCAATTTTTTTTAAATAAAAGCTTAAAATATTATTTGTATATACAAAGCATTTTGTGCTAAGAACTTTTAATATTAATTTTTACATTTTTGTTTATGACTTAAAGTTATGGCTTTTTATTTATTTTATATTCTTTCTTCTTTCTTTTTAGTTATCTTTTTTATTTGTTATTAGTTAATTTCTAGTTTTTATTTAAAATTTATCAAAAAAATATTGGTTTTTATTCTTTATTTTTTATTCATTAACTATTAAATATTTATTATTAATAAAAAAAAATTAATTATTAATTATTATATGATTATTATAAAAGTTTACTTTATATCATATGTTTTTTTATTTTTACTTTATATTTATTATTCATTAACTCTTAAATCATTTTTTAAATTTTTAGTTAAAAATCTAATTATTTTTCATCAATTATTGTATAATTATTATTTAAAATAATATTTTTATAATTTTACATTACTATGTTCGTTTTTATTTCACCAGCTGTTTAATACTGTAAAATTTTATATTTTTAATTTTTCATTTTCGTCATCAAATAAAAAAAAAATATTAGGTATGAGAAAGAATTAAAATTAGAAAAGCTTAAGCAAAATGCGTTTCAAACTTCCTCTTTACGAAAATCTCTTTAAATTTACAACCACTTTGGATATACAAACATATTGTATATACATATGTATGTAAAGTACATAAGCTAGTACTGACATAACAAATGTGTTTACGCGCGATAGCTGTGGGGCCCTAGACGAATTTGAAGAAGAAGTGCTTTCTTCATACTGGGCAATTGCTTACCAAAGAAAATAAAATATATTATTTTTCAATATCTCTCTGAGTTAATTCGAATTTTTTTATAATTCTTATAATTATTTTTACTAAATAATTTAATTGTTTTGAAGAAACCGTTTTTTCGGGGCTTTACGGGATTTGAAATTATATACAATTTAAGCACACTTCTCAGGCACATAGTAAGTACTTTTTGATAGATTCCATAAAAAAGAATCATATTACATAAAAATTAATATTTTTTAAAATTCTCTATTTTTAATCAACATATTTGCAGGGATGAGCTTTATTTATAAATTAATTTGTAATTATTTATTATTAATTTAAATTTCTTTAAAATGTATAACAAATAAAAATGTTGAAACCAAAATTTATATATTTTTTTTTTTTTTTTTTTTGAAAACTCAATTAAATCACATAAAAAGCTGGTTTTTATTATTTATTTAAGAGTAACAAATTTAATACCATCATTGCATAGATTTCACTTAAACACAAAAATAAATTACAAATAAAATACATTTTTTTTCTCCCAATAAAATTGAATGCTTTGCTTCGAAATTGTTTATAGTTATTTTCCAATTGATGTTTTAATTTTTTTAACTAAATTAAACAATCATTGACAAAAAATGTGTGAGTTTTGAGAAAAAATATTTCTGTTTTTTTTTTTCAAAATCCGTAATAATGGTTATTAATATTTATTAAAAATACAGTTTGTCTATTTTGGCGCCTAAGAAATTTAGCACAACTACATACACGTAAATTGTGCACAGTCATATACGATTCCAAAACAATTTAATCTACAGAAAAACTAATCAATATTTGTTCAACTCAGACACAGAATTATGAAATATTTGATATGCCTAAAAACAATAAAAAAAAATTCTAAAAATTACAATAAATAGTAATTTTAAGAATCAAATGTTTTTTTTTGTGATTTAAAAATAAAATAGGCTTAAACGTACATACGTATGTATGTAGTTGTACAGAAAAATTATAGCTTCACAAAAATGCACACAAAAAATGCAAGAAATTTAAATTTTTTATTTTCACGAGTTTAATAAAATTTAGGGGGATTCAAAATTAACATTTGAGCGTAATTTAAAATGTGAACTAAGCAAGCGGCATATTTAATTAATTTTATTTTTATAGTTTTGATATCATTCATTTATTAACGAATTAATTTATTTACTTTTCATTGATTTATATATTTACGTTTTGTCTTATTTATTGTTTAAATTGTTTAATTACTTATCTATTTAATTATTTACTCATATTTATTAACTTACTTATGTTCGTTAATTTGTTTACTACTTTATATTTATGCATATTTATTTATCAATTTTAATATTTATTTATTTACATTTGTTATTTTTTCATTTATTTATTTATTTATAAATATTTGCTGTTTTTTCATTCATTGATTTATTTAAAATAAATTTTTTTTTTATTTCAAATAGAAAATTCAATATAACTATTTTTGTTCATTACGTATTTTAATAATTTTTTCATATCTCATTTTAATTTTTGATTTTGGTAAACTTTTTTGTCTGATTTTCTGGAATATAATAAAATTGTATATAATATAAAAATAAAAATTTTGAAATAACATTTATAGGCATTTTCCATTGAATTTCAATTTCAATTTGTTGCTATTATAGACTTTCACACAAACACGCTGATTTTGCCGCTTTTTAATAAATTTCTTTATCATATTTTTTTTTAATAAATTTTAACTCAAACCAACCTTTTTCAACTCTCGAGCAACAGCAGCGCTTCCACATTAAAAATCAATTGTCATGCAATTTATTTTGTTTGATTTCTTCAATATTTCCCACGCACATGCAGAGACATGCAAATCACACTAATTACAATCTGATTGATTTATAATTTCTTTTTCATTGTTGACGCAGAGCAGTTTTGGATAATTTCTTTAATTCATTGCCAGTTTTCCACTTTGAAGCGTTTTTTTTTCAAGATATTTTTGGTCAAATCACCTTTTAATGCCCGGAAAATATGCGTAAAAATTTTAACAGTATTTTTGATGTTTTCAAAATTTTCACAAATTTTTTAGCAGTATTTAATTGATTTTGTTTGGCATTTTTTTTTTGTTATTTTTTTTCACGTAAACTTCTTCCTTCAGCAGCTGCACCGTGAGCGATAATCCAAGTGTTCGCTTTTGTCACGGTTTTTGCTTTTTTACGAAATTATTTTTTTTTATTTTTTTCGTAAAGACAGTTTTTCTCGCCGCACTTGATGACACTTTTGTGGAATTTCAGTAACTAACTTTTCACTACGTTCTTTGCGCCTTTTATTTATAGACGACCTTTTACTGTTTGCGCTAAGTACCGAAAATTTTCGACGACTTTATATTTCTAATATTTTGTATTCTCTATATAGATTAACCGAAATATGCTACCATACACGGCCAAGCAACGAACTACACTAAATTTTCGACGCACTCATAGTGCTAACAACACCTCGGTATGCTATAGTGGCCCATAGAGACGCGGCCAAGCATGAATAATTCCACAACCTAACCAGCAAACAAGCAACTAGCTAAACAATCGACAGAGTTAAGGCACAACAGCCATCAACACACAACCCTCGGCCAGAGTACACAGCATTGCAGAAGAAGCATTATAGGAGAAAACATATTTGGTACACTCAAAATTGTTGGCTACGCTCAGCGTGCTCACAAGAGTACAGAGGCCGACCAAGCAAAACCGGTTTGTTAGAGCTAGTTAGAGCTGGAGATGGAGCGATTTAACAAGCAATGTGAGAGAACTGTGTGTGTGCGATGTGTGATGAGCATGCATGTGCAATGTAGTCTCAGTAGCCAACCAACGGAGCAGCAAAAAGACAGATGCATTTTTCCAGCAATGCTCAACAATCAGCCAACAAACACAGCGAATGTTTATAGCTCCACACTTGCCTTGCATGCACTGCAAGTCAGGCGTAGAGTATGCTGAGAACAGAGAGCCTTTGCTTTCGTGATATTCGTGGCGTTTTACTTTATGATTTGAGTAGTTGCCTTCTTATGTTTCTCACTTTAACAAATGCTCTTTATAAGGCTCTTGCTCTCAGTGCTACTCAGCTTTGGTGCGCCTGCAGATGTCGCTGTGAACACTAAGTAAGCTGGCAATGCATTTGTAACCTTTCTGCTTGTGTTTCTCTTTCACTCAAACTCGTAAAAAAACACTCAAATTTATTTTTTTTGTTTTATGCATTGGTTGCGGCTGACCTTTGGTTTGCTCATGTCGAAAAATGCAGCTGCATACTCGTGTCGCAATAAGCTATTGGTGGTGAGGCATACAGCGCTTTTATGCGTGCTGGCAGGCAATTGATGTTGCAACATCACAGCTGTAGCGTCGGATAGAATTTTACGCTGTTTCGTTTTCACTGCCGGCTGTCGGTGGCAAGTGCAGGAGAACGTAGCATATTTAAGCGTTCGAAAATGAGTAAATGTTTGAAAATTTAGTGAAATTAAATGTTTTTGGTTTTCGTTTAAAATTTTACACATTTATTTAATTCATTAAAAATTTATTTTATTTTAATTTTTTCAATTGTGAGTTAAATATTTTTTTTTTTGGTTTTCTTCTTTGTGGCGAACTCGATAAAAGAGTTTAAACTTTCGAAAAAATTTAAGTATTGCAAACTTTTTTAACAAAGTTTTAATAAAATACTTTTCAAACATTTCGATTTATTTTTTTTTTTGTGTGATCGGACCAGGGCTGAGATATTTATGCCAAAATGCCTATAAATTAAAATTAAACGTTTTTTTCAGTTTTTGCCTTGAAACTGACTATATTAATTTCAAAAATTTTGTATTTATTTCGAACCGGCTTTGAACGGGATCCCATTTATAGCATTTAATACAATTTCCATTTTTTTATTTTAGAATCAGCTTCGAACTAAATACCTATTGAGGTAATCTGCGTAAAGACTTAACTTTTTTCTACTTTCTAGAAGATTTCACAATAATTTCTTCTTCTCCAAAGTTTTCGTTTTTGAGGAGATACCAGCTTAAAACCTCATCTGATGAAAAATTATAACAAATCCCATCCAGTCTGTAAGATCAGACTCTACTTTTCTCCGGACTATCATATACCACACTAACATGATATACGTACATAATTAAAGAAAGAGCACCGTAAGTCCTGGCTGTTAGTACTTTTTGCTCTGTAAAAGAATTGGCATAAATATTATTTTTTGTTTAAACTAAATCAATATTTTGGTGACAAAAAATAGTGAACTTTGCTTATAAATATTGGTGTGACAAAAGTTAGTCCATTATTTTCGAACAATCGATTTTTGAGACATGCTTCTCTTGAGGCCACTCAATCGCCATATACGGGCACAAGTGGTATTCACTTGGTAACGAGAATCGAAACATAAGGTAGATGCGTAAGAACCTCCCCACTAAGCTCTCGAAAGTTTTGGCGTGTCTCTATCAAGGTGTGTGTGGTCTGACGTTGTTCTGATCTTACACTATTTGCCTACTGTGGGTCAAAGCTGAACGCTTCTGAGTGCTTGCTTCCTACAAACGGTGTAATCGCTGACAGTACAGATCCTAATTGAGATTGGATTATTCAATTGGCCATGCCACCAAACACACTACAAAAACATTCCTGCACGTAAATACCGGCTTAGGGACCGTTTGTGCCGGCTCAGCGCTCTTCAACTATTACCAATTGCATTTAACGTTGCAGCAAATAGTCCACTTTTCGTCAACAGTCAATATTCGCTTCAGAAATTAGTAGATTTTGTTACAATTTAATAGGGTTGCGAGGACGGAAATTTGGTACACGAGTATCTTTCTCGTTAGCTCATATGGCAGCCATATATCGGACTTGCTTGTGTATCCAATGTTTTTCAAATGGTTCCAAACTGTTTCGAAAGGCTCGGCTTCAAATCATGGTGTCATATTAACATCCAAAAAAGTTATAAAATTTAAATTTAAATAAAAATAAAAACGAATTTAAACTTTCTTATTGCGGTCGCCCTTCGTTAGAGCATATCAAGCCCTCGGAGTATGCTTTTGACATGAAATAAAGGCTCCTCTTGAAAAATCCAACAGCCGACTTAGAATAAACTACTTTTGTTGAAGAAACATCAAGAGGCGCACCACAAGTTGTAGGATGAGCTGAGGCGAAAAGTTCTTCTGCGGTTACAAAGCGCCAAATCTATAAATGTAGGGATTTATGTGGGGATACGTAGTCGTGTTAATAAGTTTAGCCCAAAAATCTATTTAAAGCAAGACATTACATGGTATTGTAAATAATCAAAAAAAAAAGCAACCAGAAGTCCTTTCTCCAGCTGCTGCTTTTAAAGAATTAAATCTTGCGCGAAAATTCGCTTTCAACGCCAATTAAACCACGCGCTTATCAAAAGGGCACTTTTAAACACCAATTTGCTCCCTTGTCTTCAAATCTAGGTCGGTTTACCTATATATATGTTTGTATGTGTGTATGTAAATTTGTATGTTAATACCTATTGCATCAATCATGTGGCAGCAATAATCACCGCATCCACCGCAAGTGAAAGTATGCTCATATGGGGATTGGTATGTGTAATTAAATACATTTGTATGTATGTACATATGTATGCAATTACGAGTATATACATACATACATACATACGTCCTCAGTAAGTACGCGTGAATGTGAGCTTATTCGCGTGTGCAGACTCCGCGATTAAGTAGCAAATGTTAATCTAATATTAGCTGGCATCGAGTTCGAAGGAAGCGCTTGAAGGACGCCATCGAATACAGAATGTGTTTGTATGTAAATATACTATATACGTATGTATACAGTATATGCACATAGCAATAAGCATGTTTTTTAAGTGTAGGACGAAAGAATCGAAGTGTACCCAATAAACAATTTTAAAATGGAAAGAAGATTATTGAAGCGAGTACAAAGCTTCGCCGCATATCCTCCGCGGAACCTACTAAAAGTCCTAAAAGCGGGTGTCCAAGCATACCCCCTACGGGTTGTGGAATTTACTCACGGTAAGGCATGTCTGTTGTAAGAGGCGACTGAAAGTCTATAATTCCCTCTACAGTCGAGTCTTTATACCGTAACGACCCGGATTTTCATCCATCCAAGGACTCTCCATCCTACGACACTCCCCAAAAACTACTTTGAGGAATACTTTTGCGGTTATAACAATAACAACAAGGACCGTTCAAGCAATTCACACATCTACCAGATAAAGCTGCGAGAAAAAGAAAGAGTTTCCACGCTGTATCATCAAGCCCAAATTAAGCCCTTTGGACCATCGAAATTTACTTCGAAGACATTCTGTTGGAAGGGTTCCACAGTTTCAAGGCGTCTTTAAAAACATGCGACAACATATTTTTTATTTCAATCGGCGGTTTTAGCATAAACAATTGAGGAATGACAGCATTCGGAGAAAACTCTTTAGACTCTGATCTGATCAAGTTTTGAATCCACAGCCGATGGTTCGCAAGTTTCAGCGCGTTGCTTAAAATCATAGTCAGATGATATTTGATGGTTATATTCAATAAGGGTTCTCGACTCAGAGTCAAAATGGAGAAATATCTCACCAAGCTATTGCAATCTTAAACACACCGGTCTTATGTCGGAGCCCACATTGTATATTTCGCATTTTTACTGAGATTTTCGCTGTTAGAACGTCTTTCTCACACGGCAGGGAGTACGGTTTTCGAAGGATCTTTTAAGACATATAAAGAAATGTTTTTAGCTGTCTCGATGTGAACGAGATGGAAGGTATCTCGAGCTGCCTTTATTGTGTGCGTAGTGAGTGTTCAGTTCGGTCGTGAGCTATGAAGATAAGAAGATGAGCCCTACCGTGATGATTCCGGTCGATACCCAATGTAATGACATCTCGTTCCGTCCGCCCTAAATATTTTCCACACATTTATTCTTAATTCTCTTTTTGTCTTCACCAGCATCTCCTGTAGACTCCGTCCACAGTAGAGGGGTAAGATTTCTGGCGCTTTCTGACGCTGCTGGTACATCACTGTGTCTAGCAGTTGGCTACTCGTGGTTAAAGTAGGGTTGCTTTTTATTAATCGATTTAGCCTTCTCTAGAGTCTGGATCCGTATTCCAGTCTCTGGTACTTTGGGTTCGCTTTGGAATCTTAAGCCTGTTAAAACTTTTTTCACCATGCTAATATTTCGAACTTCTGCGCGTTACTTCTACCGTTGACAGACTTCCGATTAAGTCTATTGGGTATTGCCCCAGCACACATCAACCTTAACAAAAGTGGTAAGACCATAATACAGGCTTCCCACATAAGCACTCGCTCCCAGAGCCTGTATGCCATATCATATGCAAATACTCTGGCAATGTTTTTTATATGAAGACTCTCTTATAAAGAAGCATGCATAATTAAACAGACGCAAAAATCAACGTCAATTTCACAGGAAAAAACAGCAACAACATTATGAGAACTTTTAACCTTCAAAGCGAAGGGCTTCTCATTTCTCCCAAACACTCTCTGTACATGCTGCTGCC